CTACTACTAATAAAAACCCACCTGGCTGCACAAAAAGATGCAGAAAGTCTAATTTGCATGCATCCTCTTTAAGGTGGTTTGTCGGCTTGTTAATGTTTTCCACATTTAGATCAAAGATATTTATTCTTAAGATAAAGGTTTTGAACCTAGTCAACAGAAGTTTGAGGTGGGAGCAAAAAAAGAGGAAAGACATTTTGCACATCTGTCAGAGATTATGATGCTTCATAGATTATAGAATGATCTGGTGAATGCTATCCAGATGAGGTGTAGGTGTTTATGTCCAGATTTTGTTTTTGAGCATTCAAATTACAGCAGAGTGCAAAACATCTCTAACAAGAAGACGAAAAATCTGAGCATGGCTGTAATTAACACAGGCCTCAGGGAAACGCAGTACCGCCAAACCTAGAAGTAAATAAGAACATATGTCTTTTTGAGATGAAGTCGTTGTCTCTTTAAATCATGGACAACATCTCAGTAAGACCCTTGACTCGAGTTCTAATGAATAAGGATGGTGAAGGCTGTCTGTTGTTTTTCGTTCTCAGCTGTCTGTCTTGGATGTGCACTTCCTTCCTGCCCTTCAGGTTTCAGCTGTGTCTGAGTTTGGTGTCATGGCCCAACAGTCGGAGACGGGGCAAGCGGTGAGCCTGGACTGCATCAAACACACCCCAGATGCTGCAGCCGGAAGACAGGCAGGAACTGTGAAGCTCTGCTAAACTCTGTCGCTGTCTATCATCAGAAAGAGAGAGGGGGGGGGGGGGGGGGAACGTGCTCTGAGGAGCCGTGCATAGATTGGGTGTGAGGCAGGTGGGGAGGGGAGGTTAGCCTTTTTTTTGTTCATAAGGATGTTTTTTTTTAACCTTTTAGGTAAATGCAAATAGAAAATGAGAATATCAGACTTAATGTCAAGTACTAACAGTATTCTCACTCCTCTGCAGTCCTTTCACTGGGTGCATGGCAATTACAAAATACAGCACATGCCAATTTTCCAAGAGAAAAGGTTATTTTCAGATAAACTTTCCACTTGACCTGTATATAATCACAGAGCACAACACTGAAATCAGGTTCTCTCCATGGTTTCTCCCTGCAGATCTGCCATTTTGCAGGACTGTATTGGAAATTCATGACTTGTGAATCAAGACAGTGGCTGCAGCTGTCTAACCCATGCAGAAACAAACTATTTGGAATCTTTGAAGAGCAGAAAGATCCAAACTCAGAATCAGATTAAAAGATTTTTAGTACATTTTGAAATATTGATTTTATGACTTAAAAACAACATGCACTCCAATGTCCAGCAGTTGGATATAAACATGCCAGACATAAACTAGGCCAGACTTAAGTTGAATCCCGATCAGAAGACACTCGCCCAGACTGAGTAGGGTCCCAGCCATCAAACGTCTGTCGGTCAGAACGGATCTTCTCAGTCAGTCTGGGAAATATCGATCCCTCTGATTGATTCAAGGCTCTGTCCATCTGCTTGATCCGGACCTTAATGCCACGGAGTCCATGGGAGGAAGGGTGGAGAAGGAGAGCAAAGATAAGCAGATACAAATGTAGATAGGTTAGAACATCGAGAGGAGGTGGAGGCGACGGAGAGAGTCTGGGCAGCTGGTGTTGCTAGCTGATCTGCTCGTTGCTGGCGCTTTTCATAAAACATGAAACCCGGCAACCTGATAGCATGAATTAATAAATGAACAGTGCTGCCTACAGAACCCCTCTACCCACCCACCCCCTCACCCCGTTCCATCTGGGTTTCTTTACACAGACACAATGGACACTTAGAGGGGCCCATGGGGGATTTCATCCCCTCAAGTACAAACTGCACACACCGCTGGATCACTGAGAACCACTTGATCACACAGTGACACCAGGAGCTGGTATCCTGGCTCATGTGGAATACACTTTGGGATCTGTGAATAGCATTTCTTCTTTTGTGGGTTATTTAGAGCAGGCCTAATAAGCTGTGTGGGTGGTGAAAGAGGAACCATTAGCTCAATAGTCTCAGCTTTTTTCTTGCTTCTTTGCTTTTCAGACCCAAGCATTGGGAACACCTGCATCCAGAGAAGCATGAAAACGGGTGGAGGCATCCAGGGTGCCACGGTTTAGAAGTGGGAGGAGGTGATGAACGAGGTGGGAGGGAGGGAAAGAACAGCAGAGCTTGCCAAGTCAAGATTAATTTTACCCGTATACCTACCCCACAGATATTAAACACATGCTTTTTCATGTGAGGTTATTTAAAAGTTTAAATAAACACAGTGGATGAGAGCCTGTTGATTGGTCGAGATGAAAAGTTGTCATTTTGTGTCAACTAGAAAATCTCACCTTTTGAAATATTAAGAAAAGAAAAATTTCAGTGCGGTAATGTGATGCGGAGCCAAAGTTATCAAGTCCTTTGGAGAAAAATGACAGTAATACAGCAGTCTTTGTTTTCTAAAAGCAAGGAAAAATATCTACTTCTAAACTAATATTAAACATTACAAATAACTCAATTATATATTTTATAAAGTCCACACAAAGAAAACAAACAAAGAAACCCTGACATTTTTAGGGATGCTCAATATTGGAGAATTTTACCGATATCCGATATACCAATATCGTCTGATTCTTCATCATCTATGCCGATAAAAAATTATACCAATACATGCAGTCCTCTTCTCATGAACAAAGAAACACATTATAGGTTACTAGTATCTCCTATCATGCATTCTTACATTTTGAAACACTTTCGCGCAAAATGAAAACTAATTCAGCTTAAGTTAGAAACTGCAAAGTGCCACGTTTAGTTTGTCTCCAACAGCAGCTGGATCTCTTTCTCCCTAAGCGTGACACTAAGATCCGTGTATTAGTTAGTAATGTATTTTTTTCTTTTTCTACGTGATAAAACGTTTTATAAAGATCTTCAAATAAAAAGCAAACACTGGATGAAGACTCGTGTTTATGTTTTAGACATTTTTCACTGCAGGTGAAATTTCTACTTCACAAGTTGTGTCTTACCAAACGCTGGTGCAGAAAATAAACATCCTAGTAGTGTTTTGTCCCAACCCGTTCCTCCATGAGACTGCTTTCAAATCACAAAGATGATGCACTGAAGTAGCTCCAGAGGTTTTTATGGTGTGCAACTTATATACTCCCTCCATCTGCACACATGGGAAAGTTCTCCCTGTCAAACGCAGACTCTTTTCATGTTCATGTTCACTGCATTCCTGATTTTAGTGTAATTGCTTCAAGATCTTACGTTGACAAGAAGCTGAAAACTAAAATGTAATGGAGAACCACAGCCCTGGGCAAAAGATTTTAGAATGACACAAATATAAGTTTCACAAAATTCTGCTTTCAAATGTTTTAGTCAAGTTTGTTACTTATATACTGAAATGCACTGAAACTTATTCTAAAGCTTCAAAGGCTTTATTGGCAAGTACATTAAACAAAGAGTCAATATTTGCAGTCTTCACCCTTATTTTCCAGCCTCTGCAGTCCATCCTGGAAAGCTGTCAATTAACTTCTTGGCCAAATCCTGATTGCTGGCAGCCCTTTTCTTTCATAATCAATGCTATGCTGTTTATTAATTTATTTTATTATTATTATTATTATTACTATTATTATTATTGTTATTATTATTATTATTATTTTGCTCTGCCTTCTTCTTTAGGATTTACCACGGGTCTTAATTGGGATGAAGATCTGCGGAGTTTCCTTAGCATGGACCAGAAACCTTCTGTCTAAGCTTATGGCACAATGCTTGAGCATGCTGGAAAATGTATTGATCATAACCAAACTGTTCTTAGATGGTGGGGAGGAGCTCCTCCCATGGGTATTTACATATTATTTATTCTTGGCTGATCAGAGGATAAACTGTGTGTGAGTCTAGTCCTTAGACAAGAAGCAGCCCCAAGCATGAATGGCTACATTGTTGGCATGAAACAGAACTGATGGAAGAGCTCACCTTTTCTTCTCCAGACAATCCAAAAATCAAAGGAATGAGGATCCATCGGATAAAAATCCTTTATCCCAGTCATTAACTGCAAAGTTCAAATACTTTTTACTTTACTGAATCTATCCTACACTGATGGTTTTCTTAAAAAGTGGCTTTTTTTTGCTTTCCTTCCTCCTCCTGAATGTTTTCCTCTCTTACGTCAAGGCAGTGGAAATTACTGAGAAAAACTTAACTGCAAATGATTGCAGTTCATCTGTAGCCTAGAAATCTAGACCACCCCCTGCAGTAACAAACATTTTTTGCTCTGCAGGTCAAGCCACACTCTATTGCAACCTCAGCAGGTCTACCATTGTTCTGGACAGTTTTGAGTCTGACCAATCACAGCGCTTGGAAAAAAACAGATGGCGTCAGCTCAGGGACAGCACTTGTTTGGCACGATGTCGATGTTAACTTTGAATGACTTATTACATTTAACAATTAATGAGGTTGTTGTTGGACGCCATGGTGGATGCCATCGTTTATTTTTCTGTTGTGCGTGCTACCCTGCTGACCATTGCAATGGCCTGAAAATGGTAAATGGTCTGATATAACGCCTTCTATAGTCCTGGAAACCCCCAAGGTGCTTTACAACACATCAGTCATTCACCCATTCACACCCTGGTGGTGATGAGCTACGATGTAGCTACAGCTGCCCTGGGGCACACTGACAGAGACGAGTTTGCCGTACACTGGCGCCATCCGTCCCTCCGACCACCACCAGCGGGAAAGGTAGGTTAAAAATCTTGCCCAAGCACACAACAGCAGTGACAGACTGATTGGGGCTCGAACCTGCAACCCTCCAATTACTTAACTCCTGTACCACTGTCACTGTAAGTCACGCCATTTTTACTATAGTGCTGTGCAATTGTGTGCAGAGAAAGTTTGATAGACAACCATAGATTCCAGCCCTTTAAAGAGCAAGTAACCTCTAACAGAGTCTAACTCCACTCCCACTTTGGCTGTGTCTCAATTCAGTGTCTGCATCCTACCTCGGCCGGATTCGTCGGCCGGTTACGTCACAGCGCCGCGACTCGGCCTGTCCCAATTCGAAGACTCCTTCAAATGCGGTCGACGAATGCGGCCTTCTTTTCGCCTGAATGAAGGATGGGTCGGGTGTATCCTTCAATAGGTAGCATTTCCCAAGATGCCTTGCGGGCCGGCCGGCAGAAAAACTTAAAAACAATGGCGGACAGTGAAGCGGGAGCTGTCGGAGAGGATTGCGCATATAAATGTAAGTATAAACTTGAAAACTGTCAGTTTAAGGACTTTTTGTGATACATGAACGTTATTTTAGTTTGAAATGTTACAGTAAAAGTGCTTGTATTGCGGTCTCGGCTCGTATGTTCGGCCGCGCTCGGTGTCGTACTTCTCCCACTACGTTTCCCCCTGATTTTAATAGAAGTTTGTATTTTAGGACCAAAAGAGAAAACCAGGGAATTTATTAAGCTTAGGGCGGAGATGGACCACATGATCACCGGAGCAAAGTATTCGGCGGCTGTGGCATGGAGGTACAATAACATCTCATATTTTAAAAACTCGTTTGAGTATATTTTTTTCTGCGAAAACATGAAAGGAATAACCCGTTGTCCTCTTTTCTCTTCCTGTTTCTTTGTTTCTTTTCTTACATGTTTGTTAAGACTATTCTGGAGAAAATGGGCATCCAGGGGAAGGTGCCAGCGATGAGCTTCTGGAGCTGATCTGGGAGGACATGAGGCTGCAGAGCAGCAGAGAGCACAGGAGAGAAGGAAGAACTTTGACAGCTTTTTACTTTGCTAGAAAAAAATGGTTAATGAAGATTAAACATGTACATATAAAAGAAATATCTAAATAAAATGAGTTCTGCATTAAACTCTTGAATTTTATTTTTGTTTACAAATGAGAATTGTTTACTAGAGGGTATCCTCTGGGCCTTGAAAAGTCTTAAAAGGTGATAAATCGGTTTTGGTCAAATTAAGACCCTTAGAAAGTATTAAAAACTATTATCACATCTTTGCTCAGGCTCAGCTAGTCTAAAGTATTTTCTCTGAATTAGCTCTCCAACAGTCAAGGAAATGATTAACCCCCAGAGACCCACGGTTGTAGTATCACAACATCAGATTTAAGTCTACAAAAATAAACCTTCCCCATTTTTTTTCTTTTTAAAACCACATTTACATTGCTAATAGGTCCTATTCAGTTCTGCAACACTATTGGCTGTTAAAATGTGTAAATAGGCCCGTTTATCTGGCCTCCTAGAACAACATGTGAAAGGTTAAAAATATTTTGCAGTTGTTTTCTAAATTTGGGTTTCTGGGGGTTAAAAAGCTAAATAAAACGTCGAGCTCCATCGTTTAAGGTTCCTTCTGCCCAGCGGTTCCACGGTTGCTAGGCGACGGAACGTTCGCCGAGGGAGTTCATGAAGGCTAGGCCTGTCCAAATTCACAGCCGTTAACATCCGGTCTACCCGGCCGACGGAGGACGCAGCCCACGTCGGCCGGGTGGGCTGGGTCCTTCGAAGGATGCAGACCCTGAATTGAGACACAGCCTTTGTGTTTGAAAAATGCAACACATGCCGTTGCCTGGCAGACCGAGGGGGCGGAGCCGCTAAAAATTACACACACACTCAGGCTCACGACAGCATTGTGACATCATACTGTACTAGTTTACATCATAGTATACCTCTTAGCCAATAGCGGTGGCAGATTAAAATTAAAATACAGTGCAGAGTTTTTACCTGACAACGGCACAACACTGCCAGTTTTATGCAGAATATTTAAATTTTAACTAAGACGCACTGAAGTGCCAAATTATTGACGACACGTGTCTGCAGCATGATTAGACACTCGTTTATTTAGTTTATCAGCAAAAAAAAAGTTTATTTGGGGGTGACTTAAGTTAGCCATTGCATTATTTCAGGGTCCGATTATCTATTTACATAAGTAGGATGGTTTGCCAGGCTGGTTCTTCTAATCATTCTTCACATCATTATGGAGTTTATACAAGCTGCTGTCAATTTAGACAAAAATAAAAAATAAAACAGCAACTGAATCCTCTACAGAGCATTTGGCCCAGTTTTTAGAGTCTGTTTAATATGTATGAAGTAGATAAAAAGGTGATCTTTTAAAATATTTTCATCATATACATGTTTAATTATTACTCCTTTTTTCACCAGCCGCAACGGCAGGTGGAGGAGAGGCAGGGGGAGGGGCAGGTTGAACCGGGATAGTTGAAGCCCCCCCCCCCCCCCCCCTTCTCTCTCCAGTGAGCTCATCAATCTGTGATTTTAAATCAGCAATTTCAGCATCTCGCTCTCTCATCACATTCTTGGTTGCGACGAGATCAACATTCAGAGCATTTTTCTCAAGCGCCATGTTAGCTAATTGCTTTTCTGCTCTCAATTTCTTTTCCAAAAGCACTCCATTCTCTTTTAAAGCATCTTCCAACTCCTTACTGGTAGACTCATTGTCAGAGGTGGAGCCGCTTGCTCCATCTCTCTGCTTCTGCTCAGAAAGCACGCGCAACGCACTCTACGTAGCCACGTGACTCTCAACTTCCTTATCCCAGAGGTGAGATAGAAGAAAAGAGAACTGCCACAGCTTTTCTGTGCGGGTTGCTGCTTTGACTCTCTCACCCTCGCTGGGTAAAGCAGCTGCGTGTTGCTGTAGCAACTGTAACAGTTCAACTGATGTAAGATGCTGGAAGGACTCGCCGTAGTGTAGCCGCAAGCTTCAAGGGTACCAGAACCTATACAGGTTAACACAGCATCAATAATGCCTTTCCCCACAGAAGCAAACTCTTCCTCAGACATTGTTTTGTCAACAATTTAAGTGTAATGCACCAGAAAACACAAAAAAAGTGTAATTACCAGAGGTGCCACAAGATGGCTTTAGAGCTCAATGCAACAGTGTGGGAGGGGTAGTGTGCATCACTCCGTGACGTCACTCCATCACGCACAGAGATGCTGTCCCAAAATGGTGGACGGGCCTGGTGGAGACCGCATTTCTCACAATAAAGTCACAAAATACACCCAAACTACAAAAACATGCGTGGAGCTTGTTTTGTAAAGTGTAGAGAGTTATGACAAAGACAAACGCTGCCAACAACGGTTGGCAGCGCCGTCGAATTCTGCGTCCATGGGCGTTGTCAGCCCTGTTACCCTAAGAGGCTAGCAGGCTTAGACCGTCTTTTTGTGAAGCGTGTCTCTCTTGGCGTGATTCACATGGGAATCAGCCCTTCGACAGGTGGTATACCGTTCAGGTTCTTGCTCTAATTTGTCGGTATAGTGTATAATTGGAGGCATGTACTTCGCCACGCTCTTCTGTTATCAGGCTTAAGATTAGCTTTCCTGGCTAACTAAGCTAATGGGCAATAGCGCTAATCTCTGGCTAGTAATTTAGCCTCAGGCGTCCCTGGGTGTAATTCTGATTGAAGAACAGAATTAGTGTCCGGTATTTGCGTTGGATAAACGACCGTCATGCAGCGTTAGAATGCTAATATTATCAGTTGATCAGACCGAATTAGTGAGTAGCTAAGTGCTAAGTGGAGGTCAGAGTTTCCTGACTCCAGTAATACAAGCTTTTCAACAGTGACAAAACCACATAAATAATGCAGCAGAATCACACAAAGATGTGACAAACTCACACATATAAATGATTTCACCTTCAAATCAACAAATAGTTAATTACCTGCAGTTTAGCTCAAATGAAGCTCTCATATAGACGTACAGACTGTGGGTGGCAAGGGAGAGTAGCGCCCCTGGTGTGGGACGGGGTTCTCCCCGTTTGTGAAGAATCAATTAATAATTCAAAACCAACACGAAGTGGATAATTCTAATAAAGACTGGCTGGCTCGCCATTTAATGTAGCATTGGCAAATGGATTATTTACTTGTACTTATGACCAGGAAGATGTGATATTCTATATAAATATAAAATATCACCCTGCTTGATCTTTATTGTAAATATCAGAAGATTCTCGGATTTTTACTTTATTAAGTATTTATACACACTTCGTTTTGATTCAGAAAAGAGTCAGGTTTATAAAGGTAAGAAATTATTTTATTACAATTAAAACATGATAAGTGAACTAAGCATTTTCTGTGACTGAATGGAGCTAAATGTGATGAAAGCTATGTGTCAATGTGATGTAGGTCAGAACTTCCGAATCTCGGAGAGCAGCGTCTCCGGAATGAAAAAGAATTTGGTTTGCGCTAAACTATGAAGTTGTTATCTTTCATAAAGACATCAGACACAATCTGTCATGTCTACTTCAGCTGTTTCAGAGAGACCCTCTTGGTGGATCCGAAAGTCACAGGGGTCGGCTGACCGCTGGCATCAGAGGGCTGTAGAATACCGTGGTACCGACTCTTCAGTCCAGAGATGTCTTGGGTCATGACAGCTGGATGGAACCGTGCGTCTGGAGGACTCTTAAGGAGTCTAATAATAATATCAGCTTTGTTCTGCAAGAACTGTTTTGCTGTCTCAGCTTTGTAGGTGCAAAAATGTTTTTGACGACGTGTCAAAAACTTTGACAAGTGGCCTTTCTGAAGCTTTCACTAGAACTCATAAATCACTCAGCTTCATCCAGTTTTAAGATTTTGATGTTATGATTTGCACAGCCAATCAAAGGCTGACAGCTTGGCAAATAAACTTGGTTACCTCTATTTGCTTTGGACTGAAAGAAAAGCCAAATGAAAATTGTCTAAAGTTGAAGCCAAAGCCGTTTCAAATGAGTGGTCGCCAACTCGCCATCTTTGCTTTTCAGTAACATCCCACCTACTGAGTGCTGTGATTAGCCCACCAAACCAATAGAGCGCTATGATTGGACAGCTATAGAGCTGTGGCCATCTTGGTCTTTGGTAACATCCTGCCCACCTGGCTGACGGAGCGCTGTAATTGGACCATCAAACCAATAGAGCACTGTGATTGGACCACCAAGGATGTCAGTCAACGGGGCAGTCCGCCATTACATTGTAGTAGAACTACATATAGCTTAAAAAACATTAAACAATACAACACTTTTCTAAATAAACGTGGTGTGATTGGTCAGCAACAATCCTGGCCGGGCTTCCAACGGTTCCAACGGAGTGTGCCCAGACCGAAATGCAAAGCAAAATCATTTTGGTCTAGATTCTAGGCTATAAGGAAGTGCTTCGTTATTCACATTCACAAGCCATGTTTTTTCTGTCAGTGGAAAGGCTAAAATAGACATTATGATTAAAAATCAAATAAGCAATATTTTCAAGGTTTGGAATGGTCCCTTTTAATCATTTGCTTGTTCATGCTTGTTGCAGTGAACATTTATCCGAAAATATGTGTTCTGCAGTTGACAGCTGTGAATGATAAAAATTGATGACAAAAGTTGAAAAGAATGAATCCAAGACATTGTGGGTGCTGAGTGAGCCTGTCAGACAGCTGATGTATGGCAGGACAGATGCAGAGGGGCTGTATGGTAGGGGGGGCTGAGGTAAGCTGGCAGTCAGGGCACAGAGGATAAAGAACACAGAGAGGCAGAAGAGGAGCAGGCATGCAAGCTATGCGATGATTATCAGAAAACACAGGGGCCGTCTGTTCTCCGCCCGGCCTCGGCTGGGAGGCACAGGGCTGGGCCCCAAAGCAGGTGTGCTGGGTGGTGAAAACACAAGTGGGGGATATGGGGAGGAGGAGTAGGCAAGGAGACAGACGGGGAGCTGGAAACCAAAGCAGAAGGAGAAAATCCAGTGAGACAGAGGTAATTATCAATAAAAAAAGAGTAAAAGAAAGAAAAAATGTGGCTGAGATGAGAAAAGGGGGTCACGGTAGGTGGACGAGAACGGCACGCAAGCCTTACTGGAAGCTATGTTCGTCATTAGAGCCCCCGCATGGCTCAATAAA